GGGGGGGGGAAGCAACCCCCGAGCCTGGGCGGGATGGGCTTTCAGCGCCTTTCTTTCTTTTCCCGGTGAGACGTGCTGGCCTCGGGTCGCGTCTCGGTAGCGCACACGCTCACGTCCGCGTAAAGAGCGTGTGGGTACAAAGTTGTCCCATTTCTGATGAGGTCGCGGACCGCGGCTCTGGGTCTCACGCGTGTTTGCAGTGACGGCTGTGGACATGCCTGCGGGGCGTTCCCACGGCTGTTCCACACCGGCTGCCTGAGCCGAGCGAGCGGGGAACACGTGTGCGAAAGGGCGCGCCCCGATCACCTGTAAGCCCTCCGCGCATCACCCCCCGCACAGCGGTACCTTACCTTACATTATGACTGTCCGAAAGGCTAGAGACGGTTACGAGGATCTTCTTGCCGTGGGAATCGAAGGGTGCACGTATGTGTATGTTCACGCGTGCGTGTGTGTGTTCACAGGTGTCTGAACGCATACATGTGAATGGGAGGGACAGCTCCAGGGAGATTTTAAGGGAACTAAGCTACAGTCTTGATCATTTGGAAAGAGGGCAAGACATTGGTCCGCAGTAGTTAACCGAAGCACACATCGTAAAGTGAGGGGGAGGGAGAGATGTGATTTTTCTTGACTGAGCCAGTAGCTGGAGTGGAAGAGACCGGTAACAGCGTCTGCAGGTCTAGGAGTCGGGTCACTTTTGAGGATAAGACGGTGTTCAACTGGAGACAAGCAGGATCCGAGTGTCTCTGCAGGGTGCTGGAGAGCTATTAACATAGGCTTTCAGATGGAGCTTCCTGAAGGTTAAATGTGAAGTGAAGGAGAAATGAGTCCTAGGACCAGAAAATAAGCTAGGAATGGTGAGTTGAGGGGGGGGAGTGAGAGAGAGACAGAGAGAGAGAGAGACAGAGAGAGACAGAGAGAGGAAGAAGAGGCAGAGGAAGAGGAAGAGAAAGGGAGGGGAGGGAGGGCTTGACGATTCTTTCACTGATGGAGTTTTTAGGAAGAGAAGCATATTGTGGCTTAGAGGTAATTCTAGAATGTATATATTTCCCTACATCAAAAACAACAATCTGTATTTGTTTTTTTGAAAGTCCTAGGCAGTACAGTGGAATATTTATTTTATTTACTTTTTGTTGATGTGGTATCAAGAAATCCAACCCAGAGCCTTATGCACCCTAGGCAAGCACTCTACCATCAAGCTACATTCTTGACCCCAGTTTTTTTTTTTTTATAAGACTGCCCATGGAGAGAGACATAGAAAGGAGTTAAATTTTGCAGAATTTTGTCTTGTCCAACAGTATTTTCACCTACACGGTGGTTTACCCTTAAATGCCACTGTCCTAACATTTTGGCCCTGGGTACTACTAGGGTAGCATACCATTGCTCTGATGTTAATTTTTAATTATTTATATTGGGATACATCCATGTAACATAAATTTTATCCTGTGATGTAGAGTTTAGTTAAGTGATTTTTCATATATTCACTATGTCGTGCAATGACCACATTTTTGTCATCTCTACAGAGAAACTTAGTACTTATTAGTAGCTTCTCCCCTCCTCCCATCTCTGCACTTGACCTTTTGTTTCTATTAAAGTTTATCCTGCACATTTCATGTGAATACAGTTCTATTTTTTTTTTGTTATGGCATCTTCAGCATGTTCTCAAGGTTCATCCATATTTGAGCATGTAACAGTGTTTCGTTCCTTTTTATGACCCAACAGTATTCTGTTGTGCTAATATACTATTTTCATGTCATAGCTGATGGACATTTGGATTGTAAATGCTATTAGCTACTTTATTTCACTTTGTGTGATTTCTAGTTCCAAGGATTCCTTTGCAAATGATACATTTCATTCTCCTTTATTTTGAACAGTACCCTATTGTGTATATGTGTTACATTTAATTTATTCATTGTTTAGTGGACATCTGGGTTGATTCTGTAGCTTTGCTACTGTGAATAGTGCTGCTGTAAATAAAGATGCTTGGGTAGGTATGTGTATTGTATGTTGAGTTAAATTCCTTTGACTATATGTCCAGAAGTTGGTTCTTTGCAAAAAATAAAAGTTGACAAACCTTTACCTAAACTAACTTAAAAGAAAGAATGGGCTGTGAATGTGGTTTAGTGGTAGAGTGCTTTCCTAACATGCATGAAGCCGGGGGTTCCATTCCTCAGTACCACATAAACAGAAAAAGCCAGAAGTGGTGCTGTGGCTCGAGTGGTACAGCACTTGCCTCAAGCAAAAGATGCTCAGGAACAGTGCCCAGGACTGGCAAAAAAAAAAAAAAAAAGATTCAGATTAAAAAATTAGACGAGGCCAGGTGCTGGTGGCTTAGGCCTGTAACTGCTCAGGAGGCTGAGATTTGAGGATCACAGTTCAAAGCCAGCCTGTCCTGGAAAAATCTGTGAGACTCCTTTTTTTTTTTTTTTTGGGTCCGGTCGTGGGGCCTGAACTCAGGGCCTGGGCGCTGTCCCTCAGCTCTTCAGCTCAAGGCTAGAGCTCTACCATTTGAGCCACAGCGCCACTTCAGTTTTTTTTCTTTTTTTTTTTGCTTATGTGGGGCTGAATAATCAAACCCAGGGCCTCATGCATGCAAGGCAAGCGCTCTACCACTGAGTCACCTTCCCAGCCCCATCTGTGAGACTCTCTATCTCTAATTAACTACCAAAAAGCTGGAAGTTGTGCTGTGGCTCAAAATGGTAGAGTGCTAGCCTTGAGGGGGTGAGGATGTGGGGGTGGTGGTAAAATTAAGGAACAGCACCGAGGCCCTGAGTTCAAGTTCCAGGTCTGACAAACAAACAAAAAAACTCAAAACAAAAACACATTATTCTGATGAAGTATACTCTGCAAGGCTTTTTTTGTTATTGAAGGCTTTATCTACTTTTTTTTTTTTCACAGTCGTGGGACTTGAACTCTGGGCCTGGGTGCTGTCTTTCAACTCAAGGCCAGAGCTCTACCATTTAAGCCATAGAGCCACTTCTGCTTTTTCTGTTTATGTGGTGCTGAGGAATTGAACCCAGGGCCTCATGCATGCAGCGCAAGCATTCTACCACTGAGCCACCTTCCCAGCCCAAGGCTTTATAGTTTTCATAATAGAGCCCTTTCATCTCATTGGTTACATTTCTTTTCAAGTATTTAATGTTTTTTTGAGGGTGTTGTTTTTTTCTGATTTCTTTTTTAGCCTGTTTGTTATTTGAGATTCATCTGCTTTGTCATATGACTATGATTATCCCTGATTGTCTTCAGGCTCTATCTTCTTGGAAAATCTTTTCTAATCTTTCCCTGGGTTGTCTCAATGAGGTGCATTTCTTATAGGTAACAAGTGTCTTTGTCTCCAAGGTTGTGGCAGCATTGCCTGAAGATATGAGACCAGGCCCAAACCCTTATGGCTTCCCGTGGGAGTTGGTCATCTGTGTAGCTTTTGGTGGATTTTTTGCTGTTGCCTTGTTTTTATGGAGAAGTTTTCGATCGGTAAGTTACCAACATATATTAAGATAATGTTCTTTTATCTTTGGACTGAGCCAGTAATAGGAGAGACATACTTGTTATTTTAAGGAAAGAAATTAGCTACTGAACATGGATTCAGAGGATTTTTTTTTGGGAGGAGGGGGTCCAGTCGTGGGGCCTGAACTCTGGGCCTTGGCGCTGTCCCTCAGCTCTTCAGCTCAAGGCCAACACTCTACCACTTGAGCCACAGTGCCATTTCCGGCTTTTATTTTTCTTTATGTGATGCTGAGGAATCGAACCCAGGGCCTCAGGCATGCAAGGCAAGCGCTCTACCACTGAGCCACCTTCCCAGCCCCTCAGAGGAATTTTTCTGAGCAAAAATTTTAAGAGAATTTCTTTTTGGAACTATCCTATATTAATACTAAAATTCTCCATTTCTTCTTTTCATATCTATCTATATCTCTATCTATATATGGATATGTCTATATCTCTATATGTGTTTCTATCTATATAGATATATAGAGATATAGATAGATATAGATATACATCTTTTTATATATATATATAGTTGTTGTACAAAGGAGTAGTCATATAACGATATTTTTTTTGTCTTGTTTATTTTTTCTTTTTTGGTTTATGTTTGCTTTTAAATATCTGTAAGTTTTTCCAAATTTTTTTGGAATTAAAAAAAATTGACTGTTATTACATATAGTTGGTCTTCCCTCAGTTCATCCCTGCCTCTCTGTTATCCTCTAAAGACCACTCATGACCTCTGAAGAGGTCACTTTCTTTAGAATCTTGTACTCCTTCTTCCCATGTCTTTAAAGATGTGGGGGAGGGAGAGTCATATCCTTTCAAAGAATAGTATATAATTTTAGTTTGGAATGCTATGTTTTTAAAATTCCATCCTGTGCTGTTAAGATTCATCCATATATATATATATATGTATACATATGTTAGTTTTTTGGGGGGGGGTCGGTCATGGGGCTTGAACTCTGGGCCTGGGCGCTGTCCCTCACCTCTTCAGCTAAAGGTGAGTACTCTTGTCACTTGACCTACAGCACCACTTCCGGTTTTCAGGTGATTAATAGGAGATTAGAGTCTCGAAGACTTTCCTGCCCAGGCTGACTTTGAACCGTGATCCTCAGATCTCAGCCTCCTCAGTAGTTAGGATTATAGGCATGAGCCACCAGTGCCTGGCCCCTTCATCCATATTTTGAATAAAGCTGTCATTTCTTTCTGTTTTGATTGCTCTAGAATATTTTGTTATAAAATATACTATAGGCTGGGCACTGGTGGCTCCCACCTGTAATCCTAGCTACTCAGGAGGCTGAGATCTGAGGATCACCGTTCAAAGCCAGCCCAGGCAGGAAAGGCCAAGAGACTGTTATCTCCAATAAACCACTAGAAAACCAGAAGAGCGTTGTGGTTCAAGCGGTAGAGCACTTGTCTTGAGCTGAAGAGTGCAAGGACAGCGCCCAAGCCCAAGCCTCATGACAAACAAACAAACAAAAATATATATATATACTATAGTTTCATATCTATCTATCATTTATCATCTATCTCTTTATCTATCTATATTTTTTGCCAGTCCTAGGGCTTGAACTCAGGGCCTAGACACTGTCCCCTGAGCCTCTCTGTGTTCAACACTAATACTCTACCACTTGAGAGCCACAGAGCCACTTCTGGCTTTTTCTGTTTATTTGGTACTGAGGAATGGAACCTAGGGCTTTATGCTTGCTAGGCAAGCACTCTGCCACTAAGCCACATTCCCAGACCTATCTATCTTATCTATCTCCTATCTACCTATCTACCTATCTATCTATCTATACTTTGTTTTTGCTGGACGTGGGGCCTGAACTCTGGGCCTGGGTACTGTCCCTCAGCTCTTCAGCTCAAGGCTAGTGCTCTACCACTTGAGCCACAGCACCACTTCCAGCTTTTTCTGCTTATGTGGTGCTGAGGAATCGAACCCAGGGCCTCATGCATGCAAGGCAAGCACTCTACCACTGAGCCACCTTCCCAGCCCATATCTCTATATATTTTTTGACCTTTGACATGTGGGTTGTTTCCAGGCCTTTACTGTGGTATGCAGTGTTGCTGTGGCCCTTCTTACCTACGTCTCTGTGTATTTGTGACAGTTTGTCTCAGAAATACATCTAGTCATGTATACATTCTGCATGTGACTTAAATTTTTTTTTTTGTCTTTTCTACTTGGTTATGTTGTCTCATGCTAATCTCTTACAAGTGAATATACCACTCTGCCCCCTTCATTATTTGAAAGTTCAAAGAAGAAACAGGTTTGGTTTGTGGTTTCATAAGCTTTCTTTTAGATCTGTAGTTCATGGTGACATGATTAGAGAGGCTTTTAAAAATACTTTGACTTGCTGGGCGCTGGTGGCTCACACCTGTAATCCTAGCTGTTCAGGAGGCTTTGAGATCTGAGGATCAAAGCCAGCCAGGGCAGGAAAAGTCTGTGAGACTCTTATCTCCAATAAACCACCAAAAACCGGAGTGGCACTGTGGTTCAAGTGGTAGAGTGCTTGTCTTGAGCTGAAGAGCTGAGGGATGGTGCCCAAGCCTAGAGGTCAAGCCCCACGGCCAACAACAATAACAAAACAATACTTTGACTTAAAGCCAAATATATTTGGGTAAACATAGGTTAAATGAAACTAAGCAGGTGTCTTTCCAATGAAGTTATATTAGAACCTTGAGTATGATAGTATGCAATGGAAATCTTCAATGGGGGTTTTTCTCATTGGCTAACTCATTCACAATAAGACAGTCAATCAGAAACTTACTGTTATAAAGTTGGGAATAAAAGTTAAAGAAATTAATTCACTTGAAAATGTATTTATTCTAATGTAATCCTTTTTTTGTTAAAATTTTCTTTTAGGTTAGAAGCCGGCTTTATATAGGTAAGCTGGTGATTTTCTACTTTAGATTCATCACTATGATGTATAATTTGAAAATGTAATAATTTATTCATGATAATATTGACTTTTCTTTTTTAAGGAAGAGAAAAAAAGCTTGCCCTAGAGCTTTCTGGACTGATAGAAGAAAAGTGTAAACTCCTTGAAAAATTTAGGATAGTTCAGAAAGAGGTAAGAGATTTTTGAAAATAGTCTTATTTGAGACAGGGAACTTTAGACTTCTTAGTACACCTGCTCCTGTGTAAGCTTACAGCTGCTAATGCTTCCTTTGCAGAGTGCAGGAGGTTGGTTGCTTGTCAACTTCTCTGCCTGAATCAGCCTCTCAGGATCAGCACTTGTGATAGGGTGTGCTGTTGGTTTACTCACTGTGGTTTCATTTGTGTTTCCCTGGCTATGAAGTTGAACACTTTCAAATATGTTTACTGGCCGCTTTGCCACTCCTTTGTAAAGCTACTGTTTCTAATCTCTTTCATATATTTTATTATTGTTAATTTATTTACTTATTTTTGGGTCCAGTCGTGGGTCCTGACCTCTGAGCCTGGGCGCTGTCCCTCAGCTCTTCAGCTCAAGGCTAGCGCTCTCCACTTGAGACACAGCACCACTTCCGGCTTTTTTTCTTTTTTATTTATGTGGTGCTGAGGAATCAAACCCAGGGCCTCATGCATGCAAGGCAAACGCTCTACCACTGAGCCACCTTCCCAGCCCCATCATATATTTTTTAAAGGGATGGGTACTCGGGCTGGGAAGGTGGCTCAGTGGTAGAGTGCCTGCCTTGTATGCATGAGGTCCTGGGTTCGATTCCTCAGCACCACATAAGCAAAAAGAAAAAAGCCAGAAGTGGCGCTGTGGCTCAAGCGGTAGAGCGGTAGAGCACTCGCCTTGAGCTGAAGAGCTGAGGGACAGCGCCCAGGCCCAGAGTTCAAGCCCCACGACCGACCAAAAAAAAAAAAAAAAAAATTTCAAATGGTGACGTGGAAAGCAGATGTTCTGAATTTTAACAGTTTATCAGTCTTTGATTTTTAAAAGTTTGTTTACTTTTTTAGGAGACCATACCAGGGCCTTGCACCTGCTAGGCAAGCATTGGACTACTGAGCTGCATTTTCCCCTACCCCCTTTTATTTTTGAGGCCTATTCTCACTATCTAGCCCAAGCTGGTCTTGAACTTGAGGTCCTCCTACCTCAACCTTCTCAGTGCTGGGATTATAGACGTGTTATACCATGCCTGGCTTCACTATTTCTTTATGATGAATGCTTTTTTTTTCTTGGTTAAATAAACTTTTTTGCCTACCCAAGAATTTAAAGACACTCGTCTGTTACCTTTCAGATGTTTTACTGTTTCTGTTTCAAAATGTAGTCTTTTATTAGTTTATTAAGTCTTCCAGGACACAATACCACTGTCTGGGTGGCTTAAACAGTAGTATTAATTTTCTCAGTTTGGGAGAAAGGTAGCCCAAGTTCAAGGTGTCTGAGGATTTGACTTCTTTTGGGCTCTCCTTGGCTGTGCATGGCTACCTTCTTGCTATATCTTTCATGGACTCTTCTGTGTAGGTACATGCCTGGTGTCTCTGTATGTTCAAATTTTCACTTTTTAGGAAGACACCGGACATAAGGTTAGAGCCACCTTACTAGCCTCATTTCAATTTAATCATCTTTTCTGTCTCCAAATGCATTCACTTTTTGAGGTACTGGAAGTTAGCACTTTAGCCCAGGCATTTGTGAGAGCCATGATTGAGTCTATAGCAGTCTCTGGTTCATCTGGAATTGAATCCATGCTGATATAGTTAGGAGGGCATGTCAAAATTCACATTTTTTTCTATATGGCTATGAAGTTAAATGATTCTGCATATTGAAAAGACTGTCCTCTGCCTATGGTTATATACTATCACATTATTAAATGATGTGAGTTTGTTTCTGTAATATCTTTGTATCTGGTTGTCTTTTTTTGTTTTCTTCCTTTTGAGACAGGGTCTCTCTGTAGCTCAGGCTGGCCTCAAACTCTATAATGCTGGGATTATAAGTGTGCACATCACACTCAACTTTTCTCTTTCTTTATTTCTATTACTTTTTTTTTTTTTTTTTGGTGCTGATACTGGGGTTTGCAATCAGACCCTAGGTATTGTCCCTTAGTTTTTTTTTTTCTTAAGACTGTTGCTCTACCACTTGAGCTAACATAGTTGTACTTTTGAGTTTTTGAAAGTCTCATGGACTTTCCTGCCTGGGCTGGCTTTGAACCTCGATCTTCAGATTTCAGCCTCTTGGGTAGCTAGGATTACAGGTGTGAGCCACTCAGCTAGGTGTTTTTATTTACTGTCTTGGTATCTGACAGTATGAATGTCAAGGTTTGTTCTTTAGGATTGTTTTGGTATCTTCCTTGTTTTGCACTGTTTTTGCTTTGTATAGTTTACATATGACAGGCCAAACTCAATTGGTTATTCTCCTCTGACTTTGTTGTTCCTTCAATACCTTTGCTAAGAGACTATCTTTCAGTAACATATGCAATTTGATCTTCGTGTGGTACACACAGACCCTGAAAAGTCCTAGCTATCTGTCACTTCTACCAGAGACTTCTCATTTCACTGAAGAAATGTCTGTCTATCCTTGAATCTGGGATCTTCCTTCCTCAGCCTCCCAAGTGTGGAGATTACAGGCATGCAGTACCATACCCTGCTTGAGAATAGGCATTTTCATAGAGTTCTTATATATAGACTGTGTGATACATTAAATTTTTTTTTTTGTTGTTGTTGATTGTAGTGCTTGAACTCAGTCCCTGGGGACTGTCCCTGAGCTCTTCAGCTTAAGGTGAGTGCTCTACCACTTGGACCACAGGGCCACTTCCATTTTTTTGGTGGTTAATTGGAGATTAGAGTCTTAAGGATTTTCCTGCCTGAGCTAGTTTTGAGCCACAATCTTCAAATCTCATCCTTGGGCTGGGAAGGTGGCTTAGTGGTAGAGTGCTTGCCTTGCATACATGAGGCCCTGGGTTCGATTCTTCAGCACCACATATGCAGGAAAACAAAGCCGGAAGTGGCACTGTGGCTCAAGTGGTAGAGCTCTAGCCTTGAGGTGAAGAGCTGAGGGACAGTGCCCAGGCCCAGAGTTCAGGCCCATGACTGGACCCAAATAAAACCAAACCAAAACAAAACAGATCTCATTCTTCTGAATAGTTAGGTTTATAGGTGTGAACTCTCAGAGCCTGGCTAATTCTTCTTTCTTTCTTTTTTCCTTTC